GTTACCCAAGATGAACATAATAAAAATGTATATTATACTAAAAGTAAATGGTATGGAAGTGGAGTTTGTCCTAATGGTATGTAAAAGAAGGGAAACTTATCCAGTATTATATATTTTGATGATAATGATGCTCATTAATCTTTTTTTAGAACTAGTTTTTAAAAGAATGAGGTACGAATATGACGATGTAACGGTTGACGCAACCAATGTGGTAAAAATGATTAATTTGTTGATATTCATTAATTGGGTATATTTCTTTTTTTATAATCGATTTCTGAATTGAATTTATAAATTTATTTTTTTAGAAAGGAGTTTACTCTGATTTCAAACATACCTTTAAGTTGACAGTTTCAAAAAATGTAATGACTGTGAATTGTGTGAAAGGAATTGTTGATGCTCTAGGTTTTAGTCGCAGTTTCTCGTTTGAACATAATGAATAGCAATATTGGATGTATAAAACAATTAATACATTAACTAACATAGCACATGTGGGTACCTCTCTGCTAAGTTTAAATATTTAATATATATATATATATATTGTATTCTAACCTAATGATTAAAAGATATTACATAATTGTTAAATAATTGATATATAAGTGGAAACAGGATTTAAGTTAAATTAGTATTTTAGGATGGTGCTTATTTTATATAAATCCTAATGTTCAAGTAAAACTTGATAATCAAACATGACTTTCGAAGTTTTGATTGTAATTAGTGTTAGAGTTAGTTTATTGTTAAGGGTGAGGGTAGATATATAGGTAAAATTCTCTTCCTGACATTTGTTATTATAGTAATATACAGTACCAATACAGGTTTAGACTAGCATAGCGGGCTTTTGTTGTGATTGGCCAATTTTTGTAGATCATCCCATGATATCGTAAAAATTTTTATTGGTTAATCGAAATTTTAAACTTTAACTAAATCGTCTCGAATAAAAAAAACAAAATATGTACAAAAATAATTATATTCTTTGATTAAATTAATATTGGCAGAAATCTTTAATATGAAATATTGATAAATTTAAGCCTAAAACCATAATCTTGTTGCTAACAAAATTGACAAACCAAGTTTTATTAAAGAATTCTAATGTACTATTATACGAATCAAAAAGAAAAAAAAAAGTAAATAAAAAAATAAAACAAATAAAAAAAATACAAAATATATTAAAATCTTTAAATCTACTCTAAAACAGTTTGTAATAATAAATAATAATAATAAAAATAAACAGAAACAAAAACAACTTTTAACGCTCACTCTAATATCAAACTAATCTTTAATTTTATTTTAATAATCGTTATTGTTATACAGCTATAGCATTACTACTTCGTTTTTACTCTTAAAAAATCTATAAGTCTTATGTCTCTCAACTTCATATTGTTAGCCTACATTATAGTATATTTCAGTATTAGTTGGGCAGCTTAAATTAATGAGTTTAATTGTTTTCATTATACCTATAAACCTAAACGTTCAAACATATCTCTCATCTAACTTCCAAATTACTTTGCAGATTACCAAATTACTTTAATAGTATATATAATAGTGGTTGCTCTTTCTATTTTTTTTGTTACAACCTTGGTAGTTTGTATACGTGGCTGTGGTTCAAATTTTGTGCCTGCGAAATGTTATGCTAATACAGTCAAGGATTTTTCAAATTCATGTAATGCAGATCATTTCGTTTTTTGGTAAAAGACCTTCAATTGGAAAATTCTTTTTAAATTCTACGGTATGAAATTTGTACCAATTTTTGCCTTTTAATTAGGGATGGACAAGTCCGGTCCAGTCTATTCGGTTCAAAAAAAGACCAGTCTATTAATGTTTTTAGTCTAGTCTCGGTTTCAATAATGGTTCTTAATTATTTAATCTTATTGGCTAGCAGAGAAAGTCAAATCATATGATGCCAGTAATTAAAAATAAAAGATTATGTATTTTTTAATTGGTTATTTGAATTATTCTTGAGGGCCAGTCCAGACTGGTCTCAGGACTGAGAACCAGTTAACTATAAGACTGGTTAAAAGACCGGTCTTTATTCAGTCTTTTCAGAACTGATCCATCTCTACTTTTAATACCTCAGAGATCTTAGGAATCCTTAAACTACATATTTATAGAATAACTTTTGCAAGATTTTAAAAGTTTTTTTAAAACTGATTGTTATTTTTAAATAAAAAAATTTTTTTTTTTCAATAAAAACAGTTTTAGCATAAACCTTTTAGTATATTGTATATCATTTCTATATGTAAAATATCTAACTATAATATAAAGAACATATGGGCTAGATGCTGAGAAAAGGGACAAAATTGACAATTTTTTTAAAAGATATTTTTTGCATAAATCAATTTATAATAAAGTTTAGATCATTTTTTATTTAAAACACAAAAGTAGTTGTATTAATAAAATTTTGCAATATAGCTTTTTAAAGTTTGTATTTTTTTATGATTTATTATAAGATTTATAACATAAAAATTGATTTTTTGAAGATCTTTTTTTTGTCAATTTCATCTCTTTTCTTAGCATCTAGCCTATATTGTATAATATTCTAGTCAATTATCCAATTAGGTTTAAAGCCCACTATGCTATTGAGACTACTATTTTTTATTCTTCAGGTTGATCTGTATAAACAAAATCTCATGATTTTGATTTCTGATAGTCACATAGATACAAGGCTTTAGCAAAAATACTTATTTGTACAAGTAATACAAATCCAAAAAGAAAATTTAATAAAAAAATAAATTTCGTAAACTG